AGGAATCAGATGGAGAGAAGTTGCAGAGGACAGGGACAGATGGCAAGATTTGTTTATAGCGGCATGGTCTTAAAGGCCGAAGCCAATAGAGAAGGAAGAAGTTTAAAAAAAAGATCAAAACTTCTTCTTAATTTTTAATTAAAATATAAATAAAAACCTTCAAGACGTCATGGATAATAATCTAACCTTTAAATTTTATAACAGGTAATTTCTTTCTAATTTTAGATTTTACTAAGTAAAATATATTATTGTGAACGTAATAGTCCATGTTATACCTATATTTGTAAAATATAAATTACACATATGAGTGTGGCTTACTCATTATAATATTATATGATAAGTAAAAACCTTAGCGCGTTACAATGTTATGTTTTTAATTCAAAATATCTTATTAACTAAGTAACAAGAAATGGTGGAGAGGATAATTGATCTATTGCATTACCACTTCAAAATGTTATGGCTAAAAAATATATGACGTTAAATAACTGTTAAAAATATTGAACTTTGATCTAATGTATTAAATTATTTAAATTCAATTAATATTTAGGTGGTAGTTTATATCAAACAAATTGTTGTAATATAATATGCTTATTTTAGGTATTTTTTGTTTTACCTGTAGACAACTTACAAGATTTCTTCAATTTTTTAGCGAATTTAAGTATTGTTGAATTTCCCATCTTCATCAAATCGACACAATACGTTCACAGAAGTCCATTAAACTGTACAAAACGGGATGTGGTAAAATTGAATAAATAAACAATACCAACATTAGGTTGACAAACATTTCGCACCACAAGCTCGATATAATAATAATAATTGGTTGCCATTTGACTACCTCTTTCCTACATTAATAATTTATATTAAGTGTGGGATTTTCGTCGTATCAGCGTTTGGACTATGTTTGGTAAAACACTTTCGGGTATTTTAATTTCAGTCATTTGGATTTGACTGAATCAAGCCGTTTACCAAAAATATGGTCTAAAATTTAGAGCTGTCTAAGAAGTAAAAAGAATCAAGTAGGTGCACAAAATGTTATATTAATTTCCTTTGACTTAAACCCTAAGATTTAAAATTTCATAAAAGTTATATGTGCCTAATTCTATCATTAAATTAAAAATGTTATTTTTTGGAGGATAYGTTTGGTCCATACATTTTAAACCACATGATTTTTAAAAAGAACACCATAAACGGTTTCAAACGTTAAAATTTTGCAAAAATCAGAAAATTTGTAAATCATTTTTAAAATTTAATAAAAATATTATTTTTACAATTTTTTTTAGCTTTTCAATTAATATTTTAATTTATTTACATTTGAGTACTTGATTTTAATTAAAAACATTTTAGGCGTTTAAAATCAATGATGACGGTTTRCATAAATATCGTGGAAAAGGTTTGTTATCATCTACAGGACAAAATAGGTCAGTGATGCGTTAATCAAACGATAACAAACCAAATCATATTTAAGCTATATGATGTTCAATACATGTGGAAGAATTACTAGTGGATAAGTACCCATAATGCAAATGAGATGGATGTTGATGATCAGCGACAGGACACCTGGGAAGTAGTGAGTACATGATGGTTTGTATAATATGTTAATTTTCAACACAATTGCACTCGCTCTTTATTACATAAACAACAAAAGGTATAATGTTCGAACACAAGAATTGAATAATAATTTCACCAAATATCAATAATAATATTATATTCGAGCACATTAATGGTCACGTGAAATTATCGATATATATTATATTGTTAAGATTTTATGCGTATTATACACAACATAATAAACTTACTATAAATTTTAAACAAACAAAAAATTCGGCGTGTTATGGATTATATTATATGGTATTATACAATCTGAATGTGTGGTTATTATGAGTATTTGTGTATTATTATTATTATTAATTATTTTTTCAAATTTCAGAAAATATTTAACTTTCACTGATTAGGTATTAATAGTTTTTTGATTTTACAATTTAATTTTCCTTAATTGATAATAAAATAATACACATTCTATCACAATAATTACATAAAATAATTCAACTCTCAAAATTTTTCAACGTTTACTAACTAAAATCAAAATTTAACAAAAATGTATACGGCTTAAATTAAATTTGAATTTATACAAGCTTAAAGCTTATTATAAAAATGTAAATACTTTAAGAACATAGTACCTAACTGTAAATCTTTTTTTTTTTTGAACTACTGTTTTGCTGTAAAATAATTGAAGTACTTATTCGTAGTATTTATATAACTATAACATTCATTCACTTTATTTTATTCACATTTATTAAGTACGTCTTCTAAAAAATGAAACACCTTTGCGATTTAATAAACTATCGAAGTATGTATTTAAAGCAATTCGTGAGTTTATATTTTATAGGCATTTCAACAGAAAACTTATCTTTTTTGGTTGACTTAATAAACTATCTAAAAATGTTTTAATGCTAAAAAAAAAAACAGATAATAATTATTAATGTTAAATGTTACTGTTAATTGTATATGTTGTTCTGAAATCAATTAAAATAGTTACAACATAGCTAAATTATATCGATGTTTTTGTGTTATCAAAATATAATTTTTCATTTCATTTTTCATTTATATAGTTTTATAGATATTAGGTGAACATAGTTGAAACAAAATTGTTATTTGGTAGGTATATCGTACATTTTAAATGGTTGTAAAAATAATTTCCAACAAAGAATATAACTATGTGCTTACAGTTAAATAAGCAAAATATTTTCAGTATGTTCAAATAGTAAAACAAAGCTCAAGATCAATAGATAACTTAATTTATTTTAACATTGAAAATATTCGTGATGATTAGATATATTTTTTTTTTATAAAAATGTGTAACCATGATTAATCTGAGTTGATTAATTTCTTATTTTTATGATTGAAATGCATATGCTGAATATAATTATAAGTACATACAATTATCGGAAACATATTTTTATATAATATTTGCACACTTTTCTTATGTATGTGAATAAGTATAGTTGCTTGAATATTGTTTTTCAAAACATGTATTGTTAAACATTGAATTAAAGATACAAATAATAATGAACTGAAAAATAAAAATCAGTTGAAAGCATAATTATATTGCAGTAATTCAGTGTAAATAAATTAGTACCTACACAATCAGACAACGTGTACTGAGTACACACACGTATAATATTAGCGTAATGTGTTTGGATAAATAGATATCAAAGTGATCATAACGGAAGACACAAAATACACAAAATCAATTAGGTAGATAACACTACAATATTAAATACGATTTTAACGTAAATTACTCGTTGTTTAACATCTTTGATCACGCTGTTGTCAACAAAATAATTGAAATATCGAATAATAGGTATCTGATATAATATAATTTAACTGGTAAAACTTACATGCCAAACTCCGAGACGATTTTGTAATCAAATATCAAACCGCGAATTTTAATTAAGTGTTTATTGCGCGATTGTAGAAAACAAAAACAAAAAAGATAATATAGGTATAGTATATTATACATTATTATACATTATGTATAATGGTTTATGTTACAACGAACGATAAATATTATTATGTTTTACCATTTTTGCAATTTTTAACATTCGGAATTATTTAACACATTATTATTATTTTTTCACTCGGAGTCCGTTTGATGTGAACAGAATCGAAAAGGAAAATATGAAATGATATCGGCAAACATAATCTCATCTCGCATCATACAATTATTATAGTTACAATATATTAGTATCGACTATATCGTCGCGCGTTGCCTAGCGGTTAAACTACCCCTCACTCTCGTGTAGGTGTACTACCGAGTCGAATGTTATCGTCGTCGTCGTGATAACAATTGAGTCACTACTAGAGGAATGACTCAGACKCCAAGGTTTGTTGATTAGAATCGATGGTCCGCGTGTCGTCCGGTTTTGTCGGAGATGGATGGTGTGGCACGATGTTTGGGTCTCCGGGTATCACGCAATAGTGTGTGGAGTGCTGTGGTTCCGGGTCACCGTACTGTGAATGGTAAAATTCCTCGCGCATCATGTGATTCAGAGAGCCACACTTGAAGTATAGTATTTGCTGGAACGGCCTTCGGAAGTCTCGATTCAGCGTCGCGTAGATTACCTGAATCAATTATCAACGGGTAAGGTAAGCAATAATGGTCGATATGGCATTAATGAAAGCAACAACAGGATTTTGGACTGGTTAAGACCCCTGGCGTTGGATGAAGGGTGCTCGCAACTTGTGATGTTTGAACATGTTTTGCACTGTAGTATAGACGACGGTATAGTATGCAATTTCATCTGTCAGTGAATATGTTCAGTAAAATAAACTTGGTTTTCGTGTACAAAGGCGGGTCATAAAATATGCACTTAAAAAAGTGTATGCGTTTAAAAGCATAAAAATATGAACTTGTAATTTTTTTACTGATATGTGTGGTCTTACATTATAATAGGTAGCATCTAAATATTTTAAATTTAGGTACATTTAAATTCTTCGTGTCTATAATCAATCGCGGTAGCATTATAAGATAAATACGGGCTATGAAATTTTACGAAGTAATTCACGAAAATTAATTCACGAGCTGTTTAATATAATATGCTCATTGCATAWAACTATTAGAAATTGTATCCACGAAAAAGTTTCTAAATATAAAAAAGTGTGTAATTTATTTTTTATAAAAACGAATCTAAAGATTTTTTTAAGCAATACATCAAAAACTYTTAAAACAAAAAAAATGTGTAAATGCGAGTCAGAACAATGTGTGAATTGTATAACTTTTGAACTAAACCTATGATATTATTTCTAGTAGGTACTTCCTATATATTATATATAGATAGATAGAGAGAGAGAGAGAGAGATTACTAATAAACTTTCGGTATATGTAGTACCTACAATAAAAGCAGGAATCGATGAGGTTACTATATAATATTTTGCACAGTGTRATTTCCATTTTGATCGTACACTTACGCTTCTGTTAGATTTTCTACAAATAGAACACAGACTTGTAAGACAACAGTTATAGGTTTATGAGTAATAATATATTGACTGCCATGTGCAATCTTAAAGTATGTATAGTAATAAGTAATAACGGGTTAATATCCCTACGCTGTACTTTGTTCTAAACCTCCGAATCGGAAAAACCGTAAGTTATATTTGAAATATTATTCGTATCGTAATATTCGCCGCCGATAACAGATATTACTACTCTAGGTGGCGCGTTGGAAATCGGTAAATACCACTAATACCAGGAATCTTTAAGACAGGGTGACCGCAGCGATGACGTCGGTATTACGAAACGTCAAACAGAAACAGCTATAGACATACGTTATAGACGTAAATTGTATAGTATCGTAGAAAACTTCGAAACGAAGCTCTACCGTAATTATATGGGATACGGTTCAAACGCTGACAGTTGAAATATTGACAGTTTGTCATAACACAGACGGTAAAAATGTCGACAGGTACGAAATATCGATTAAAATGTCGACAAATAAAAACCAGAACAAATAAAAAACCTAATGAAATATATCATAAAAAGTTCATTAATTGATAAAATATAGGATAATAATATTATTATAATTTTATTTAAATACAAAAAATTAACTGATAAAACATAATTGTAATATACAAATCCACTTAATCTCAATAAACTAATGACACATACGTATTAATCATTTATTTTATATTTAATGCAATTTTCTCTACTTATTATTACATTTTGTATACGTTTCTCTTTGACCTTGTTAGCTTGTTAAGGCTCGGCACCCTACGGCGTACGAAGAATTAATTCATACACTATTTTGGTAATTTTCCATCCATTTTGTACCTCTATAATTTAGCKATTTACATTAATATGAGATGCGCCCAAATTCAAATACTCACAAAGCCAGAGGCCAAATCTAGTATGTATCAAGAAATGTATATATCACAATGAAATAAATTTTTAGTAAAACAAATTATTGAGAGATATTATCCAGTCATCAAGTTACTGAATAAAGTCACTTTTTACAAAGAAAACAAAATGTTGATTTAAGAACACCAATAATTCGATTTTCTCTTGTCTCTTGAAATGATTTTAAGTTATAGGCATTCGAGGTATCACGTATAGGAATAAGGAAGTTAATAAAAAAAAAGAAAAGAAAAGAAATCGAACACAATGGTAGTGAACGTATCTCTAATATTGAAACAATTATAATTATAATACTCACGGGGTTCAGTAACGAGTTTGCGTAGCCAAGCCACAGGAACAGGCTGCTCAGCGAACTGGGTATGCTGGATGGGTCGCTGAGGAACGGCCTGACCAGTGCCAGCACGAAGAATGGTAACCAGCACACGGTGAACGCGCTCATAATGATGCCTAGCGTGGTGGACGCCTTCCGCTCCTTGGCCAGCTGGAACCTGAGCTTCTTGCCACCGGATTCGGGCTTCTTGGTGGCCGGACGTCCTGTGTTGTGGCCGTTGCTGGGTACTACCATCAACACTGGGCACTGGTATTCGCCCACCGACCGGCGAACCATCGAGCAGCATCGGCATCCGTCGCCRCCACGTGCACCGCTCCCTATCGTTCCACTACACTGCATTTACGGTCAAACATAAAACGCATTTGGTAAATGATGGATTTAAGTGTACAAAAAGTATCATATCGTTAAGCATTTTTATTATTACTGTTGTTGCAAGTTGGATTAGGATGAAAAAAATATGGAACTTTAGAAGTACCTATCGATTCTTTTTATTAACCCAAACCAAATAATCGTTAGGTACTAATTTATATGAATATTGTAATTTTTAAGATATTGGAAACTTAATTTTATATTTGAAATCAAAAGCCTGCATTATGTTCATAAGCATTTCAGATTTTAATTTTTGGTGAGTAAAAAAATAAAATATTTCAACATAAAATAAAGTGAAATTAATAATATTATACGGAACTTAATTTCAAAATTTGATTGCACTATCAAGATCTGCCAAGATTTCATTTGATCAGCTATCAGATTGCTATGAAAAATTTTATATTTAGATGATATTTGTAATGATCATGTTGGTCAACTGTAGTAAAATTATTTTCTGTTCATAATTGATTAAAATCAAAAATGTGGAAAATAAATAGTACCACAGACTCTACTGCCTATGTGGGTACAAAATGTCAGGAAAATGAAACAAATTTTTGAAATTATCTCATTTGAAACGCATCATACACTATTAATTAATTACGTTTAAAAATTACTATCACACACGTATTATAGTGGATTTAGTAATAATATTAATTATTATCTTGAGGTAGGTACTGATAATTTGTAACCACAAATCTGAGAATCGCTTACGATTGTATAATTAATATATAATACATATGTGTGGTTTATATTTCGAATTTTAAGATTGAGTGATAATGCTGAACGATGTTAATACCTAATATTTCAAAGTAAATGCTATCCATATAATATCTTTTTTTTTATTTGTGGTTTTTATAGCCCCAAGCACAGAAGTAATGGAACTTTAAAATCAACTTTTAACGATGTACTCTTAATCGAATGTAATGTGTTCCCCTTCCAAACATTTTAACCATAATGGTATAAAGTCTTATTGAAAGGTTCACGGTAGAATCCTTTCGTTTGTGTGATTCTATGTTTCATATTCATTTATAAATATTTAATGTTTATCTTAAGCATATATTATAATATACAATTATTACACAATATGTGCATTAACTGTTGTTAAATCAATTAATTTATGTTTACCACACATTTTAACTCCTTTGAACAGGCTCATTAAACGGGCCTTATTCCACTTTGCAATGTTCTCTCTACAAATAAAATGATATCCTTCCCAAAGTAAATGTAAAAATATATTTACTAACATGTGTAAAACAAACATTTCGAATATTGTTGACTTCAAAACATCCAACGAATAAAATAAAAAGTTGTAAGAATATATATATTAGATTGGTAGTGACATTACTTATATAGTTATATTGTTGTTTTGTTATTTTTAATAGTATTTATAACTAAAAAAATRAATAATTTTGTTCTTGATAATAAGGGGAGGGCACATTATTTGTTTTCACTTTAATAGACTTGTTGGCCATAGAGACTTCACGACTTAGGTCTTAAATTATTAGATACATGATATGTATCATTATGTATTATGTTATCTTTTTATTATGTGATATAAAAGTGACAAGTATGGCGCCGAACGATAATATTGTAATAGGTAAGGGAAAAGAATTTTATTCTTTACATATTTGTAGAAATTCCTTTTATCAACGTCGCAGTTTGTATAAAGTTCGCTTACAACAATTCTCAGGGTGAAACCACGTCTAAATAAAACACAAATGTTACCCTCTAAGTTTTAGTGCAGTTGGTCCGAGTTTTAGTCGTTTATGTGAGTTTTATTCACATACGTCTGTATTTTTGTTTCCCAGAGAAACTTTAGAAAATGTAGAATATTGAAACACTTAAAGTACCAAATGCCGAAAATTTATCACTCCTAGAGGTTTTAAATGAGTCCTATCTTTTTATTTAAAAATACTAAAATGAAAACACACTTGCATAGAAAAATGTGTTTTTACAAAACGTTGTACTTTTTTTATTTCAATAAGTCAGAAACAGCTACGACAATAAATAAATAAATGCTATCAAATGAATGGATGGAATTTATTATAGGGCAACGGTTATTTCTACATACTCGGCAGAATCTTTATTTTACGGAATCTTAAAAAAAAAAAAAATAATGGTGCTAGAATGTAATCATTTATAGACGTTTTATCTTATTGCTTCGATTGTAAATAATACTTGAATACTTTAAATGGAAAATATATTTAAATATAGCAACATTTGAATGTTCTCAAATCTTGTGTTATAAATCATATTTATAAATGCTTAAACAAACAAAAATATTCAGAATGAATTAAAAAAATATACGATTAAATTTTTTTTTTTTAAGTTTGTTTCAATGTTCATGAATATGACCATTGATTTTGAACTTGCATTACCAATATTAGTGTAGAGTTAAACCTAGTAAAAAAGTACTTAAGAAAAATAGAAGTGTATATATTTACATTTACAAAAATTAGTTATCGGTCTTTTTTAAATAATTTTCACATAAATCAAAGAAATTAAGTAATAAAATTAGTTTTGTCAATTCTTAATTATGTTATGTATTAATCAATGTATCAATATTTTCGACTCGTCGTTGATTAATTAAAAAAGATTTGCAGAGCAAAAGGACATTAAAGTAACCTCTAAAGTTGGATACAAGTCAAAGACATTTTTTTTTTTTAATATCGCTTAATATCGCGATTGCCTAATTTGTCATTACGCCCAAACGACGTTCCAATTGTTGATGACAACAAATTTTGGCATACCATTTGCTGAAAAGGTAGAGAGAAAATATTTTTATTTTTTTTTTTGGCGTAGTGTAACTAAAAAAACAAATTAATGATGTGAGAAATAAATTATAAAATATGAAAATATGAACATCCATATAAATAGGTCTACTTTTTTTTCAAACCTGTTCCTTAGTATAATTTCGGTTAACATTAAAAACTGGGACAAAATATTAAACATTTGTACTTCCTCAATTGATAAATGAAAATCGCAAGAAATATAATTACTATAGAATTGAATTTCAAATAATTATATACGCGGATACTTTTGATAAAGTAAACAGACGCTTGTTTAGCTTGTTGTTTGTGTGATAAGCTTAAACTCTTAGATCATGAATACTGAATAGGCATTGAGTACATTTGTTATTTCAACAAAGAGCCAATACGTATCYGATGGACAGTTACTGAAGTTGATAATAAATKACGATATAACATATAACACATAGGTGTATACTAATAGTTGAATCGTGAAAGATATGATACGCAGTAACAAATAATCATCTGTTCATACATATTTTCTTTAATTTTATTATGATTAGAAACTGATTAKAAATCTTAATTGTTTATTTTAGTTGTGTAAGTWTTTTATTTGCTATATGCAAGTCACATAACAATTAAAAAATAAAAATAAAATATTTATAAATAGACTGTCCGTTTGCGTAAATATAAAGATAAGTTGGGTAAATATTTATGACTGAGTAGATGTTAATATTACTGAATCAATATTATGTTTTTTATATCATAACATATTTTTTAACATACTTGCTTTAAAAACAATCAAGTGCATAAACTCTTTTTCACAATTACAATATCCATAAAAAGGCACTTAAAAATAATTAAGTACTCACATGTATTTTATAGAAGAACATTAAAAATTTAAAATACTATAGTTTTCTAGCATGAGATCTTAAATAAATAATTTTTATAACAAATAACATTATTATTGATCTAATTTCATACTTGAACTACTTTCAATTTTATTCGTAATTATTTTCAAAAGGCATYCAAGTAAAAATTATATAAAGATAATGATATGAATGAATGGTAGGTACATTAGTACTATTAGTAGTATAAAATGTATTTACAAAAAAGAATATTGTTACGTGTGTAAGAAATATTATTTTGATTTCGTAATGAAATATGTCGAAGGCTCTTCTTATTTATTAAAATTATTYTCGGTTTTATACGTAGGCAATTTATTATTTCAACGTTAAATTTTATTTTAAATTAATTTGTGTTAATTCAATATTTTTTTAGATGACTATAACTTAAAAGTTATAATTGAATACCTATGTTAAAAACATAAAGGAAATATAGTTTAAAGAAAAATTATCTCTTTATTGATATATTCTTATACAACTAACTTAATATAAACGTGATGTCTACAACTGTTAAAGTTTAATTAAAAATAATAATATCCTTAGTTAAAAATTATTATTAAATCATAGTGGTTCGTGGTATTAAACTTTTAACAATATTATCAAAMGATATAATTTTGTATTTAATATATAATTATAGTGTAATAAAATTGTTCCGATAACATACATATATTTGTATAATAATTAATAAGTGAGATACGGTAAATGTATAAAACCTTGATTTACCCTATAAACCTAGAAATKACTGCCTTATATCATTATACAGTATATAACAGGTCTATTTGACTAATGCTATAACTTACTTTCTATTCTTTTTTTTTGTAACGATTTCTAGAGATCTGTGCAAACATTTTTATGTGTTATATTTTGTTGTTTTTTTTTCTTACAACAAAAATTAAATAATTTAAATTTTGTATTAAATTTTTTTCTTATAATTCAAGATAATTATTTTATAAATAAGTATTTAAAAACAGTTTTGACGTTTAAAACTTTTAATTTTATTACGTCATTGATTTTTAAAAAATTTTAAAAGTTTGTTAAAGTTCAAATTTATTTCTTGCTAATCAGTGTTTCTTATCATTAAAAGGTAGGGTAATTCATAATATATATACATATACTTCATATATATATTTAACATGACTAYGTGATGCATAACACCACCATTAGTCAAATAAACCTGTTACATTCTGTATTTCAGAATTATTAACTCATACCGATTGATCTTGTACATTTTAAAATATACAAATATGATTTTTATAGTTTGGGATTTTAAAAACCACAAACAGTAAGTCTTAGATAGGACTATAAATCTATA